CAAGAAACTGAAGTTTTCATACTTAACTCACCCAAGCCGAAACATAGAATCAAGAATTAAGGATATAATTATAAGCATGTTGGCAAGAAAGAGAACAGAGAATTGGACTATGAAAGAAACAATAGTTCATAAAGAAACAACAAGAAGAACAAAAGAAATCAGTTGCACAGTCTCTCTCTCTCTCTCTTTGATATTTCTTTCACTCTAGCTATGAGACTTACCGGCCGATTGAACGGAGAAGACGAGACAAGGGGGAAACAAAGAATACGGAACAAAGAACTCTCGGACCCATCCCCCAAAAGAAAGTCGAAGGAGAAAGAAAGAAAAGAACAGATGAAGCAACAGAGAAATTGGGTTCTTGAGATCTTTACAAACGTACCTGGATGAGAGAACCACCATAGTATCAAGATGCAAAGTAACACAATCACAGGAATGATATGGACCCACTTCTTCGACGATCGGTTACGTGGAGTGTTATCCTTCCTATCTACATCTTCGCTTGGAGCAAAGACCGGGAGATCATCGACAGCAGAGGAGATGATGACGGACTCATCAGTAGCTCGAGATGATGAACCTCCTGCTAACCTCTGCATATCGAACAAGATTTTGGGAAAGAATTATACAGGTGCGAAAACACAATCAGGAGTGAGTGATGAAGGAGAGAAAATGCCCGTTAGAGAATTTGGATCTGAGAATTTTGCACTGAGTTCTGGACCGAATCTGTATCACCATTGGAAGCCATGGTGTCTTGGATCTGATACCAAGTTGAAGAAATAAGTAATGGTCGACTGAATTCAAAATGAAAGGGTTGTCATGGCAGGCCGAACCCCCGTGTATTTATAATGTTAGTAATTGTGATTACAATTTACAACAGAATTCTTGAGAGTTTGAGTAAAATACGAGGGCGCGTTCTGTGCACCTGTGGGTTCACCGGACGCGTGAACCCACCAACCAAAAACGGCCACGTCGGCATTTTAAATAAAAACTAACCTTAGCGGGCTTTTTTGCCGTTAGTAGCTGCAACCGGTTGAACCGGACACAAAAGACAAAAAATACTTGCAAGGCTGCCTAAAACCCATTTTCAAGGATTTTTTCATTCGAAGTTTCGAACTCCCTCCCATTTCCTCCTCTCCTCTGTCGAGCCCTAACCCGAAAACATCCCACCTGCGATCATGGGCGCGAAATCTATCGGCGGTAAGCGGAGGAAGGTACTCCTTCTTCTTCTTCGTTTGCGAATTCCTGCTCAGCCAATTCAATTTGCCGTTTTGCTTGCTGTCTTACCTCTCTAGCAAATGCTGTCTTGCTTCTTTAGCAAAGGCCTTTTCTGCCATGTTCAACCTTAGCTGCTCCCTTGCCTGTTCTTTCAGTCTAGAAGCTGCTAAAACTGGTTCTTTAATGGCTGTCTTATCTTTGGAAGACTTTCTATCTGCATCTTTTTTGAAACTGGCATTGCTTGAATCAATCTTGTTGCCTTGGTTCACGTGACCCAAATGAGAGTTGCGGCTGGGTAGCATGATTTTCGTCTGTATTTGGGGAACCGTGGTAAAAAAGGTATTTGCGAGATAATTCGATGACTGTAACAGCTACAGTTCCATATTGTGGCGTTGTTCCACAGAAAGGATTATTCTGTTCTGGATATAAGAGGACGAGTTCCTTCGGCTTTTGCATTCTCAATCTAGGCCAAGGAGTTGTACTGAAATTTGTGTCACTCCATGGGTTCGGGCTTGAAGGTGCTCGAGACAGGCAAGCTTTTTAAGGATGGCAATTTTTTTCATTTCTCAGATTTCTGTGAGAGCAGGGATGGGGATGATTTTCCTCCGCAGGGTTGGGATGGAAGAGCATTCCCTGCCGGTAGGATCCCCGCTAATATATATGTATATATGTATGCATACGTTATATATATATATATGTACACATACATCTATATATTAATATTTTAAAAAATACGGTTGAATATGTTTGAATATTTTATCATAGAATTGTAAATTTTAATTATTTTGCTTTTACTTTTTAAATAAAATAAAAAACAAAATAGTGAACATTATAAAAAATCATGGAGAATGGGGATCCCCGTGGGGACGGAGATGGGGATAACCTTGTCCCCATTAGTGGGGACGGGGATGGGGATCGATTTGTTGAGAAAAAGCCTGCTATCTCACAATAGCCAAATAACAAAATATATATCTGAACGGAAACAAAATAATTTTGTTTTCTTCTTTGTGCAATTAAATGGGCATGCAAGTCAAACAATATCAACCAAGTAGAAAAATTATATGCAATAATAAGAACACAATCCACAAATAGAAGACATAAGATTTTAATGTGGAAAACCCTCCAAACTGAAGGGAAAAACCACGGGCAACTAGCCACTTAAAAGCTTTCACTAATAAATCAATGGGATACAGCAAAGTTCTTCTCTAGCAGTAAATGTAGAGGCTGTCAGCATCAACTACTCACCTAAAGGTGGATTTCATCACATATCACCAAATAACTCAGAGACAAAAATAAATCTCTCCAAAATGATAATAGAGAAGAGGAATAGAAAATCAAACTAGTAGATATGCAGTTTGAGGCGCCATCGACTGCATACTAAAATCCCAAGACGATCGGAGAAAGGGTCACCACGCAGTTTTTGTGTTCTTCACCCATGAAAACCCAAAAAACCTCTCTTCTCCTTTCCCCTCTCTCTCTCTCTCTCTCTCTCTCTCTCTCTTTCTCTCTCTCTTCTGTTTTCGATGGAAAGTTTCACCGAACTCTTCGAATTCACCACACTTACCGAGCAAGTATTATTTGCTCATAACTGTCTTTGCTTATGCAAAGACACGTGATGCTGCCTTTTATGAGCCTTTTCGACTTCTAACCCTTTTTTTTTAGTGAGCCCTCCACGTGGGAAGAGAGCCCAACCAACAATCTCCCCCTCACTTCTCACGTGGAGGGTGGCAACCCCATGCCAGCGGCCTTTCTGCAAACAACAAGTTTTTCCTTTGACAAAGTCTTGGTCATCATATCTGAGCCATTATCACCAGTATGAGCTTTCTCAAGTTGTAGCAACTTCATCTCCAGCACATCTCGAATCCAATGATATACCTCACATCTATATGCTTAGAACGTGAGTGGAAAGTAGAGTTCTTACTGAGGTGAATTGCACTCTGGTTGTCACAGTATAGAGCAAACTCTTATTGCTTATGGCCCAATTCTTGCAGGAACTTCTTTATCCACAAAACTTCTTTACAGCCCTTAGTAATAGCAATATACTTAGCCTTAGTAGTAGACAAAGCAACACACTTTTGCAGTTTTGATTGCCACGAAACAGCTCCCCCTGCAAAGGTAATCAAGAACCTTGATGTAGACTTTCTAGAGTCAATGTCACCAGTCATGTTTGCATCTGTATAACCATCTAGCACTGGCTTGTTACTTCCAAAGCACAAACAAACTCTAGAAGTACCTCTGAGATATCTAAGAATCCATTTCACAGTTGCCCAATGTTCTTTTCCTAGATTAGAGAGAAAGCGACTAACAGCACCAACATCATGAGTTATATCTGGCCTTGTACATACCATAGCATACATCAAACTACCAACTACGGATGCATAAGGCACATTTTTCATTTATTCATTTTCTTTCTCACTTGTAGGACATTGCTTGGAGTTAAGTTTGAAATGACCTGCAAGTGAAGATACAATCGGTTTTGCTTTGCTCATATTGAATCTCTCTAAAACCTTTTCAATGTACTTTTCTTGGGATAATCAAAACTTCTTGTTCTTCCTGTCACGGATGATTTTCATGCCAAGGATTTGTTTAGCTGGACCCAAATCCTTCATAGCAAAAGCTTTACTGAGTTCTTTCTTTAACTTGTTGATCTTAGCAGCATCATGACCAACAATCAACATATCATCCACATAAAGCAGGAGAATAACAAAATCATCATCAGAGAATTTCTTTACAAATACATAGTGATCAGAAGTAGTCTTACTGTACCCATTAGCTTCCATAAAGGACTCAAACTTTCTGTACCACTGTCTAGGTGCCTGTTTGAGCCCATATAAGCTCTTTCTCAACCTGCAAACAAGATCTTCTTTACCTTGTCTCACAAAGCCTTCAGGTTGTTCCATGTAAATCTCCTCCTCTAAGTTACCATGGAGAAAGGCGGTCTTCACATCAAGTTGTTCAATTTTCAAGTTTAAACTGGCAGCCAAACACATAACAACTCTGATAGATGACATCTTTACAACAGGTGAAAAAAATTCTTCAAAGTCAACACCACAACCAGTCTTGCCTTGTACCGTGGTTGTGAGCAATTTTCTTCACTCTTCAATCTGAAAACCCATTTATTCTTTAAGACCTTCTTACCCTTTGGTAGCTTTACCAGATCATAAGTATGGTTCTCATGCAAGGATTTCATTTCATCTTGCATGGTTTTTAACCATTCTTGTTTCTTCTCATGAGACAAAACCTCCTGATAATTCTCTAGTTCTCCCCCATTAGTAAT